GATACCGCCATCTATTGAATAAATGGCGCAAATTGTAATATTTCATTGTTAACTGTTCAATTGATTCCACATAAAAATTAAAATTAACAGTATGTTAAAACTCTAATGCATGCTTCTTTAGAGGAAAACTAAATTAAATTTATGTGTAGCTGCTTTTGTAATATAATGTATATTTATTATTCTGATCGCATTAATATTGCATATTATGAAAATATTGTAGAGAAATGAACTTTTTGAAGCCACCACCACAGCAAATAATCATTTAATTTGTATATTAATTTGATATACGTGCCCTTTGCATACTTATAAAAACTTCATCATTACTTTAATTAGAAACGTGGATACCTTAATAAAAGTAAGCCCATATACATTGGAATCAGACGGAGAGAATGCGTTCCGTTCGAACGGTACGGAGAATCACAATTAAAATACGTCCGGCGTGCTGATGCCAACGAATGTGCGATACCTATCGGAATTACCTACACAGTCTTCATCAGAAAAGCTAATAATATGCTAAATTGCACGAGTCGATTCCGACAAATGTGCGTAAAAGCGAAAAAAATTCTGAGTATTCCATGCGTCCGATATATGTGCGCTTACGTTAACACCCTTGCCTACCATTTGAAATAATTCAGTTAGTAGATGACGACATTACTCTATACATATATAACATAGAAATCACAATACACGTTCCGTAGTTTCGATTTTCTGACTAAGAACTCAATTCGTTCTTATTAAATTTTACAATTTTATTAGACAGGAAAACTTAACTAGTAGTAGATATTTTTCCACAATTCAGGTTAGTAAAGCGTAATTCAGAAAGCTCTTCACTATGCATTACGTAACTGAATGAAAATTGTTATTCAGTCTCGTGTGTAGCGCTACATTTTTAATACTAACTCCAATTCAATATCTGGTACCTAAATAATGCAAGCACTAAATGCTATTAATAAAAATGAATAAAAATATTTCTTTCCACTTACAGATCCACTTTTGTTTGTAGCATCTACACGAAGCGTCGGTCTCATTTCTTAAATAAAAAACTGAAAACTAACAGAGGTAGCTGTTCTTGAAATAATCTTTACATATTTTTCCGAAAGCTAATGTATGAGTAAAACAGATTATAAGAGCGGTTGAATATCGGTAGTGTGGGAGATACGATAGTTAAAATTTTCATATTTAAACTAAAGTGTTCTAAGAAATGTTTGTAATCTCTCCTTAAATGTTTGAAATTTCTCATGTTTAGAGGGTAGATATATATATATGGTTTTGTCGGTTGACCACCAGTCACCACACACCTGTGTATAATGAGTGAGAATATAATGGAATATTCTAGAATGTTCCTCAGCTTGAATATTCTCGAATATCTAAGACTGTGACGTGGTAGAATGTTCTAAAGTGGAAAAAGACTAGAAAAATCGAAAACGTTTTGAAATATTCGAGGACCCTTATGTATAAATGTAGAATATGGCTTCTTCAGCATTTTTTTATGAATTTTGGTCAGCCCCCCCAACTAAAAAATGTCTGTAATCTTCTATAATGTTCGATATTTCTCCAGTTTGTGGAGGGATGTGATCTGCAAGACGACCACCGGCCACGAAGGCACCATAAGTGAGAGTGTACTAGAACGCTCTTCATTGTCTCTAGGGTGGATGGAGATGATCCCCAGATAGAATTAACTAGAATAAACTAGACCGGAAGAGCCGAGAACGTTCTAGAATCCGAATGGAATGTTTATTGAAGAGTCATTATATATGAGTGGTGAGGATGACTTTTTACAGTATATGACAGCATCTTATACATGTTTGTATAGTTCGAACAGTGTCCTAAAGAATATTTTGAATCTCTTATAATGTTCTAGCACCGTTTAGAATAAGAATGAATGTAAACCCAGCAAATCGGATTGCCGTTACCTAGTTCCAAATACAGTAAAACTTCACTAGTCCGGATCAATTAATACCTAGTCAATCCGAATTAGTAAAAATTAGTGTTGTTGAGACATCTTTAAAATGGGCAAAATATATGGTGCACAGAACGAGTGTTACCAGCAAGTTGCAGCAGCTAATCTCTGATATTGTCGGCGTACCGACCCCATACTCATTAGCCAAGAGTTTTCCTCTAACACCACTTATAACTTTTTGCACTAGCTCGTGCTTTTCGCGTGTGTTAACGTTTTGTGTGATTTCTTCTGCGTCATGACGCTTTATAACAATCCGGGAATTTCCCGAATTACAAGGACTATAGAGAGAAGCGGAATACAAGCTGCGCAACAATGATCCGAATTATGGAATACATTGTACTATAATGTAGCATTTTTATCTGAATTATAGAAGTTCTACTACACTTACATAGGGATAGAGAAATAGGGAAATACTAGATCGGCGACGAACACAAATTAAGTAAAAGTTAAGGTTAGCCCATTTTCCTGATATTTTTTTTTTTCGATTTTCCACCTTATCAATCTTTTATTTTGGGCATATTAAGAACCCTTTCTAATTAGCTTGTTCAAGAACTAGATATTTAAAGACTTCACAAGAATATTGGAAATTCTGAAGTTATAAAAAGAACAAATGTTTCATTAATTTTTATTTCTGGCTACACTTCCTTCTTTTTTACATTAGGAGTAATGAAATTTCTCCAATTAGTAGCTCAAAATATTTATATTTAGTATAGAAGCAATAAATGTAAAAGAATATGGTTGCTAGAGCATTTGTGGAGTAAATATGTCTACTTTGAGCTAAAATGTGATGAAAATCTATAATTTTTTAAAATAGAATAGAAAACGTGGACGAGAAAAATAAAAGAACAATTTACCTGTCAATTTCTCTCTATTATTTTTAGAATTTAACAGTTGAAAACCTGCTAATAAAATTAGAGATGTTTATTAACACTTAAGTGGAAAGAAACATTTCCATATAGAATGAGAAAGAAATACTACTAAAATGTTAAGGTATTAAACATCTCAAAGTTTTAGTTTCGATTAAGGCATGTTGAAAGTTTGTGCCTAACTGCAATCCTACTTTACCTGAACTTAAGTAATAAGACTATCAACCAAGCATCAAGTTAATTTAAAAGTTTACCAGAAGTGGTTTTGAATCAGAAGCGAACTCAAACGAAACTCTTGCAAAGTAACGCGATGACTACCAACTAATGTTTTAAAATCCTCGGCAGAGATGTAACAAGGGAACGGACGATACGATGTAAGTATTAGCAGTGAAAGATTACAAACGAAGTTCATCCTATCAAAGATTTGACATTTTACATTCTACAAAGAGCGGACTGGAAATAATTAACATATAAAAGTTTTAAAGAAAATTATTCTGGACTTTCTAAACCTACATTACTTTTAAACTCAATAAATATGTAACTAAATTATGTTCGATTGTTATATAAACTTACGGCGCGTGGAGCATGGATCGGCATTCCACGCGCCCGTCGCCGTAAAAACAAAAAGCGAAGACGGACCTGTTCGTTCCAAGCCGCGCCGAACCTGTTACTAGAAGCATGGATGGATAACCCACGCGCCGTGTAACATGGGTTTTATACAATAAAGGTTATATTTGTTTCTTGTTTCATCATCTCAAATTAATTCCGAAGTTATGATGATGCTGATATTGCAATCTAAACAAATCCAAAGATTCACGTGAACGAATTAACAGGCTCGTCTAGTTAATACGTTAATAAAAATGATGTAAAATAAGCAGTAAAATATTTTAATGAACATATTTTATGGATTTTTGGTCCATATTCGTTTCATATCTATCTTCATTATATGCCATATTTCTAAATAAAAATGGCAAACATTTCTAGCAAACTATTTATAATCAGGCTTATAAAATAAACATCCTTGTTTGTCAGATAAATAATCAACAAGATAGATCAAGACAAAGTCATGTAAAACGTTTTCCAAATCACTGTTAGCGAAACGGAAATATACGAAATACAATAGAGAAAGGAACAAATATTGATAATAAAGATAATTAGTATTCTTAATTTTGTTTACCCTAAAATACATTTATAGGTCGATTGATATTTTTATTACTTTTAGAGTTCATTCGCGTTTCCCGCAATAAGGTCATAACATGCCCGAAGTCATTTTTAGTCCACTCATACAAAACTCTTTATCCTCTAAAATTAGAAAATAGAGACCACAAAAGAAGCCTGTGTTCGCCTCGAGTCTAATATTTACATTTATGTGGCTTCCTGTAGGATATTGCTTTTGAAAATCAAAGTAAATATTTGACTGCAAATATTGCAGCCATCGATGACTTTTTGTTGAGTACTACGACATTATCATTACCAAATCAGTATTATAACAACAAAACGAAAGACAATACCAATTATTAAAAATAATAATTACTCGCAACTCTCGTTTGAATAGTTTCGAACAAATCCAAATTAAAGTACTCCTCAATATACAGGGTGGTCTGTTTTAATATATAATGGCAAGTATATCGGCATGTAAGCGATAATTTAAAAGTGACTATTGCAAAAGCTGTTAGGTTCTAATATGGGAGCCATCTGATTCTGTAGTCGGTCACTAGGTTCGGGACTGTGGCGAAGTTCCGTGGTGTCCAACTTTGGTTTTTTAAATAGGAATCCCTGCTTTGTGTTGCTGAATGTGATACTTCGGATTAAAGAAATTTTTTAAAGCATACTGGGATGATTTTTTTTTCTTAGAATCAGATCCTGCAATACAAAATAGGGGTTTCTGTCTAAAAATCCCAAATTAGGGTACATACAGGGTCTCACCAAGATCCTGGATCCAGAATCAGATGGCCCTCTTAAAACCCAGCAAAACCCAGATATTTACCATTATAGATTAAAACGAGCCACCCCATATATCTTAGTGCTTTTTCAGATATTATATAATGTTGGAGTACATTTCAAAGTTTAATATTTCGAAAACATGCGTAAACTGTAGCATATTAACCCTGAGAGCGTTTTCAGAGTTCTGGTTTTGCTATTCCCATCTTAAAAACATTATTTTTAAAACTTACTTCCACTGCCAAAAACTTGCTTGCTGTAATCTTCAACGTGAGGCCGTTGGCCGTTGGTCACATCTACGGACATTTCTGGTGATACCCTCGTGTCTGAAGTTGCCAGCTGAAAGAAAATTAAAATTATAATTAGAAATTTTCACCCTCATATTATAGACTAATCAATATATATATCAACATCAATGAACATAATAAAAATAAATGTAATTTGTCTATACGTGCCGCAAAAACTACGCAACCAAATCCCGGAGCCTTATTAGGGTTACATGGTGTGATAATCTTCTATCCTCCCGTTCATAAAGGTTTTGATTTTCAGCTGCATGGATTGGTTTCAAATATATGAGCGTTAAAAAAGTGGACCCCAGATAGAGAGTCGGTTGACTGAGTTCCGACGTCTGGTCAGAACGTTACAAAATGTCACAGATTTATCCTATGAATGCTTTACATCTACAGGTTTCAAGAATATAAATAAAAGGTTCAAGAACGTTCCCGAATGTTAATTGACAAATTTTTCCTGAGCGAAGCGATAGTATTCTGGCTTATTATAAATGCAGATATTTTGGAATTTTCAGGAAAAATCTGCTTTTGAGAAATAACACAGGCAAAAACTTGTTTGGTGTCTGACTGATCATCATCATACAGTCGTCAGTCAAAACTGGTTGGACGCGCACCTCCACTCTTTGCTATCTTGAGCTAATCTTCGCATTTCCTTAAAACTATAGCATTCCACACATCTTTTCGTTAACATCTAATCTAGGTCTACCTCAACGCCTCTTACCTCTTCATTTATAACCTTCATCATTCACCTGTAACACCATATTTCGAACGCTTCTAACCTTTACTCTTCCATCGCGCCCACCGTCCATGTTTCACACCCGTACAGCATCACGCTCCACACATACACCTTTAACAATATTTTCAAATTTCTAAATTAATTGTTCGCGAGCATAGAAGTGGCTTCTATTTATTGAAGGCGACTCGATCCTACGCTATTCTCTATTTTATATCTCTACACTTCTTCCACCCTGAGTTATCTGACTTCCTAGATACTGAAAATCAGCCACTTCTTCTACCTTTTCATCTCCTATTTTTATATTCGTTCCTTCCTTACTTTTTCTTTCCTTGCATACGAGTGTTTTTGTTTTAGTTTTATTTTTTGTTTTCATACAATACTGTTTTTCAATACTGCTTCCATTTTATTTAAGGCTATCTCTAACTCCTCCTTGCTAAATGCTAATACTGCTATATTATCTGAAAATCCAAGCATAATAATCTTGTGTCCCTCTATATCTGATTGACGATCATATTTATGGAAGTCCCTTTGTATACCCGTGCAATAACTATAGGGATTTACTTTCTTCCACGAACCAATTTTTGTTGTCTAAGCTTAATATGTTCATGTATCACAATAAAAATTTCTATTGTGGTTCCTATATCAAACGTAACCTACCCCCAGAAGTCGGCAAACTTTAAGGATAAAAAACAAATTGTTAAGAAAAACAGGGTGATCAGTACGGAAATTGATCTTGGACACGCACCTTCCTATCCCGATTATGAGTCAAGTTTCCGAGATATGGAGTATCTTATATCATTACTTTCCGTTATTAGCATTCATTATTGTAACACCACATTTTTCGCACCTTCCCTCCCATCCTCTAGTATTAATATTAACTAAAGGTTTGATGACTCGCGATTTTATCCACCATTAGCGGCCCCACGTAGTCATTCGCAGACTCTTGCCTAGGGTTAGTAAATAATTTTTGAGTTCAGTGAGCATTTTCGATTCTTTAATTAGCTTTTAATAACTGTTATTTCAGGTCTAAAAATTTTAATTATAGCTACGCCTTCTGGACGATTTTGCTTGATTAATTCCAAGAAGGTATGCATTAAGGAATTTAGAAGGGCATTTTAAGATAAATAACCCCTAAATAATCGATGAAATTATTTCCCAAAGATAATTAAGGAATATTTTGGTTATGATAATTTCAACAACAAAATACGTTACAAAGAATACTAACTAATAATAAAATAAAAAATAAAAATAAAATGTAATACTTAACTTATTTTCTTACTCTTGTCTTATCAAGTACCAACAAGAGAGTTAATAAAAATTATCCTCAATAATTACGGAAATATTAGGTACCTTAAATCAATAGTCTAATTAAAATAAAGTGAATATTAATTTATTTTGATAAATAATGACCTTTGCAGCTAAGAGATGAATTTTATTTGGCTCCAAAACGATTAAATTGCAATTTTTGCTACTAAAAAAGTGGGCCTCTAAAAAAATAACCTTTCTCACAATTTTACTACTTTTTTACAGCTTTTCCTTTCACTGGGAATTGCATCTAAACTTATATTATTACGTACACGCGCTCGCAAATAAACGAAATTATACCAAACGATATAAAAGAGCACATTGTACTTACAATAAAAAAGTCATCTGTATATCATTCGATATAAAAGGGCAGATTGTGTAATAATAAAAAGCATCTGTTTTCAATCCTCGCTGTTAAAACGTTCATGTCAAATATAATTTATAGCAACTTACGAGATGGACATAAAACTGTCACCATATTTAACAAATACAATTGAGTTTTTAAAAAGATATTTGTGGCAAATAACTTGCAAAGGTCAAACTGATGAGGCAGTCTTCTTAAGAACACGTTGTGCAAATAAAAATACGCGATAATTGAGCATTTATATTAAAGATAATAAATATTACAATAAGTATTACACAGAGCAATAGCTAGTCAATAGTAAGGCCTAGCATGCACTGCAAATTTTCAATATGAATATCACAGAAATAAAGTATATTGTGGAATTGTTATTGTTATTATAAATGCTAACGATACTAAAAGAAAGAACAAGAAACAATATTGGTTGCTTCCCATCATAAATCAGAGATTAGTAAAACAGTAATTTTCTTTTTTTAATTTCGGATATAACTTTTCCGTATCCAAAACACTATGTAACGTTTTTGGTTTTGGTTTTGGTTTTACGCAGCAGTACTCTACCACTAAGCTACAAGAAGGTAACAAAAGCATACGTACTACCTAAAGCCGGGAATACACCTGAGAAACATTGCGATTCGTTCGCATTCGTTTGCTTCCGTTTGTGAAGTGTAGACAGTCATTTGTGGTGATTTGCAACGAATAAAATTCGATACAAATGGTCGGCACTGCGAAGGAACGCTGTCCATCCTATGTCAGTAAACTCAAAAAGATCTCAAGGAAATGCAAGTTGCGAATGTTTGGGAACCCTGGTAGTCATTCGTATGTAAACGTGTTGAAAATAATTTTCAGTAATTTGCTACAATTCGACGAGACAGGCTGATCTTTATGAATAAAATCATAGAGCGATGAAAAGGAAAAAACACAGAAAACAGAGGATTGACTGTTTTTCAAAACTCATAACACATAACAAGCATTTATTTACTATTTTGAAATCACAAATCTGCTTTTTTAAACGTTTATTTATCTCTGTGTTTGTATAATTACTACAATACACCGTTTTGAACAATAAAATGAAAACGTGGTTACTGATACCCACACCGCAAATGATACTTCGCGAATGGGTGGAACGTGGTGGAACGCTAACAAATGTAAATAGGGGAAAGTAGTTCGTTCATATATGCTACTCTAACCAGCAATGTCTACAAACAAATGCAAATGGTAAAGTTTCCAATGTATTCCCGGCTTTAGGACTGACGAACTTATGATGATGATAAATTCAATGTATTAGTGAATTAATTCATGAATTAATTTTACCCGCTACGGATAACCTCAAATTAATAATGAAAAATTGTTGCTGTTCACGGAGAAAACTACATTTTTATGACAACCCAAATATTACAATTTTCGATTGTAAATTTGCCGTAGAAATAGTAGAATTTACTAGGTAACTTGTAATAATCTCAATTTTGACATGTTTCTTTAAAAACTATTTTAAGTTTCTCAATTATTACAATTAAATTTGTAATATCAATTAAAGTACCTAGTAAATTTATTTCTGCTTGGATTTTATTTTTACAAATTCGGATCCAAATTGTAATTTTTATTATTTTCGCTTACGAAGCAACGGACTAATGGTATAAATTGTAAATATCGCTTTAATTTTTTGGTAAATTTTCGTTTTTCATTTTCTCCGTGTTGTCGCCTTCTTCTAGCTTAGTGGTACAGTACTGGTGCGTAAAACAACAGGCCCGGACGGATTCGATTCCCGGCAGGGGAGTGACTGCAGCAACAATTTTTCTTCATTAATTTGAGGTTATTTGTAGTGAGTAACATTAATTCAGAAATTAATTCACTAATACATTTTTAATGTCCTTGCGCGCTTTCCAGATCTTTTTATTTTTTAATAATACGATATTATACAAGTATTTTTTTTATCAACAAAACTTGTATTCACTTGCAATTCTCCTTACATTGCTTCCTCCTGCATCCTTATATTATCAAACTAAATTATTAAGTACATGCGTACATATTAGATGCAGAAACGGGAGTAAAGAGGGACAGGAAGGCCTGGATTAAATCATTAGGGTTGTGAGGTATTCCAAATATCGGGAAATGTTCGCCCAGAAATGAATGCAGTGAAGGTGGATGTCCAACCAGCTGATGATAATTACGAAAATTACAGAAAAATGATCTACTCCTTTCTAATAACAGAATGGGGATTGACACGGATCCCCTATAACCTTATGTATCATCCCATTGTGTTATAATGCGCGAAATTAAAAAAAGGAGCCGCGATTTTAGATTGCTTTGATTGCATACGTTTACAATGTTTTTATTTGGATATTATTGTACAAGTACAACATTCTATTCTTAAATGGTATGAATGTATATATATCTATCTACATTAAAACTGTATCTAACCTATTTTAGAGAAAATCGATAAGTTTTATCCAGAAGGCATAACTAATAACGTTCTGCTGGATACTTTTGACCTTTAGATCACGTATTCTCTAAATAAATCTCCTCGAATGCAACAACGATGCTTTAGAATTGTAGTCTTGTCAGTAAAAATCCCTTAATTAACACAAGTGATAAGTGAGTCGTACGATTCTTATAAAATATTATTTGTTGGAAGAAAATCGTGTATCTA